AAAAAAAAACGTATCCAAAAGAGGACTTGAACCTCTACGATATTATATCAACGAAACTTAAGCTCGTCCTGTCTACCAATTCCAGCACTCGGACGTATATTTTTGTTTAATTAAGCTAAGGCCAGGGTGAGTTGAACACTCATCTCAGCTGTCATGAGCAGCTTGCTTTACCAATTAAGCTATAACCTTGTTAAATATGCGGACAAAGGACTTGCACCAATATTGACTGGACATGAGCCAGTTATGTTACGATTACATCAATCCGCATTTATAATATATATAAATATTATAATTTATATATTGATAATATATAAATTTATTCCTCATCTCTAGTTAGTATAATATATACACTAAGCGTAGCCTCAGTGGGGATTGAACCCACGTATGTAATGATGAAAACATTATGTCTTAACCACTTGACTATAAGGCCTATTATGTATATATTAAGTCCAGTGCAAGTATCGCACTTGCTTATGCTGGTTACAAAACAGCTACATTACTTTTATGCTAACCGGACTGAAGTTAATGTAGTTGTATTTATTCTTCATTTAAACATAAATAAGTTCTGTGATATCGCGCAAATTTAGTTGAATATAAATTAGTACTTTATACCTAAAAACATTTAAATTCTTTCAGCTAAAGCCTATTGATAGCATGTACCTTGAAAGTATAAGGTACAGAATAAAATTTTATTTAGTTTTACACACACTTTCTTGCTGATGTTTTTTTTATTAAAAGATGCGGGTGGAGATTTTAGACTGTTCTATCAGTTTGGTGTACTTTTATTCTTCATCATTTCGTAGTATTCCACTACGTATATTTAAGAATATCTTAAAGTAAATTTCGTGCCTAGATGCATTCAGCACTTATTTTTAACTAACTTAGCGTTCCTGCCGTGCCTATGTTATAGAATTACTTAAGTGAAAGTAACACCCTAGCTTCTCTAGATAATATTATTTAATATTGGGCACATAAACAACAGGTAAACCAGAGGTTAATATACCCAGCTCCTTTCGTACGAGGGGGATATCCTTATTTTATTCTAATTTCCTCTAGAAGATAGAAACCATACTGTCTCACGACGTATTTAACCCAGCTCGTGTAACTTATTAATCGACGAACAGTCGAACCCTTCATGATTCCTGCATTCATGTGGATAAGTTAAGCCGACATCGAGGTGCCAAACTGCGCACTCAATTTGTACTTCCTGGCGCAATTAGCCTGTTCAAATTATGTTAAAATTCCGTTTTTTTTAAAACGGTTCAGACTATTTCTTCATGTTTTCTCTTTTTATAATATTTGCAACGCGAAAATATAAATAAGGCAAATATAAACTAGCATTTAGGTGTAAAACCAACATTAAAAAGTCCTAGAGATAAATATATATCAAAAATATAAACCTTGTTTTAGACACTCATTATTATACAATTATCTTACTTGTAGGAATATAAAGATTTGCATTGATTTTTATATTAAGCAAAATACCAAGTAAGCTAATTTAAGGTTTTATTTACTACTTACTCAACCCTTAACACCAAAAGCTCCGTTACGGGTTTTAGAATTAATAAAAGTATATTGTACATTTGATTTATGATAACCTCTTAGCATAACAGTAGATAAGCCTCTAAAAGAAGAATCGACATTTTTTAAACCACCTATTCATTTCATTTTAAATACAGATCTTGAAGCAGTTGCTCGCCGTGTAAGCCTTCCTTTAGCTTCTACTCTAATTCCTCTTAATTTTAAATGTTTTAAGTGTTGTCTAAGTACATAACCTTTTAAAGATACTTTTTGTTTCTTTGTAAAGGATCTTTTTATAATATTTATTTCTAAGTCATCGGTTGCAGGGTAGAAACTTAACAAGAGATTATTTAAAGAATCTTTCCCTTTATCGTCCGTAAACATGGAACTAATGATATTATTACGGATTCTATTAACAAAAAAATCTTCTTTTTTTGGTTTACTTATTCTTTCGCTTATTCTACTTATAACGGGTAAATCAATTTTACGTAGAGATCTTTTTAAAACTTTATATAGCCGATTATCTCTATTCCTTAATTTTAA